CAATCACAAATTTCTTTACTTTGAGAAGAAAATAATTAATATTAACCACATTTTTCATGGATCCCACAACTTTTCAACCATACATTTCAAAAACTTCTATTACAATCTACTAAAAATTCAATTTTAATCCCTCCCAAACACCCATACTTGATCTAATATAAAATAATAATTTCTTAGTAAAAAGTTAAATTAAGAAAATAAAAAAATGAAATTTTAACATAAAAATGACTTCTTGATCTCGAATAGTAAAAATAAAGAATTGCCTTCTTGAGAAAATAACAATAAATAATTCTTTTACTTGTACTAACAATCAACCCCTTGTTCAACTCGGATCGAGTACGAGGAAAGAATGATAAAGATCACTAAGTGCCTTTTTAATGCTAGTTCTGACAATTAGTCTGAGTACAATTTACAACCCAATTATTATTTTGGGCCTTACAAATTGGGTCATATTACGAAGAGACCCAGCATCCATACCACTGTTAAAACCGCCCGCCTCCCTCTCCCAGAGAAACCAGAATCTCTGCACTTTACACAAGCCAAGTAGCAGCCGGCAGCCAATCCAAGAAATCCATAATGGGAGGCCGAGGGAGGTCCCGTACCCAGAGAAAGCATTTCCGCCAGAGCAGAGAAAATGTATGGAAACGCCCCAAATCTGATGATACTCAAAATCCTGAAAATTCCAGCAACAGTACACCGGATGATACCAATGATAGCAGAGTTAATAGAGATCCCGGTTGGCAACCTTTTGCTACCCAGAACACGGGTTTTGATGAATATTACAAAGTAAGGAAGGAAAAAAGGAGCCCTTATGGGTGTTTTGATATTTAAGTACGGCGGGTTTGATTTAGCTTTATGAACTTGTGATTTTGAAATTTTTAGGAACAAGAAATTGTTTCCCAGGAAGAGTGGGATACTTTCGTCAAGTATCTTCGGACGCCGTTGCCTGCTGCTTTCAGAATTAATTCCAGGTTCATTAACACAAATGCACATGTTATTGGATTTTTTTCTTTTGCGCTGCGCCTGCATGCAACTGTTTTCTTTTCATTTTGTTTAGTATAGGCTTGATTATAAATTTGCCTGGCTCTGCCTGAAACGATATAAACACAGATTATTGAATTCTGTGATGTTTGTATTGGATTATGATTAAGATCTTTATCTGTGAAAAAAATGTAAATGGCTAGTAAATAGTTTTGAATAGAATAGTGGTGAGGTTGAACTCTCAAAAGAAGACTGTTATTGTGCTCTCCAGAATCCACTTCATTGGATAACATTTGAAGCTTCTCTATTATTTACATTCCCATTTCGTATGCTGGTAGTAGTATGAATTAAAAGTTGAAGAGTTTTCGCAATGCAACTTAGTAGGATGCAACAGTCTACCACTCGCTGTAGAAGATCCCGCATCTTTTACAAACTTATCATGCCCAAAAACCTGGCAAACATTACAAATAGAAGAAATAAATGGTTTGATGTTCTAGATCAGAAAGTAGCTCGGAAAACTATTTGCAGTTTACCTGGAAAGGTAAGTGCGATCAAAAGGAACTCTTTCACGGATGGCTGGTTCAATACATTCATCTTGATGCTCATATGTCCAAAGCATTATTTAGCCTTTGTTTGATTCCCATTTTTTCAAAATACATTTTTCTCTATCTTCTTTCTAACAACACATTCTTCAATGAAATAATATTACACACAAACCCAAAACATTTCCTTATTTTTTGACCACACATTCTCCATCAATTTTACTATTCCAAAATGCATTATTTGCCAAATAATGGGGCTCAAATAGGGCCTTATTCTTATTAGATAAGCTGTGTTCTCTAACCCTTTTATGCATTCTGGAACTGGAAAGATAAGAAGAGAAGAGAAGGTAGATTCTCCAGTGCCTGCTTGTTTTGGAGAGTGGTGAAAATCTCTTTTCATCAAATCTTGTTTTTAGGAGCTTAGGGGAAAAGTCAAGAGTTGATAATCTTTTAAGTCCATTTATTTGGTTTTCTAAAGCAAGAGTACATAAAATCTCTTTTCTTTGCATCTTGGTTTTCGAAGCTTTGGGAAAAATGAAGACTTGATACTCTTTTAAGTTCATTTATTTGGTTTTCTAAAACAATCCTGTTCATAATGTTAAACTCGATGGTACAAAGGAGTTCCATTTTCACTATCCTTCTCTTTCGAAGATGAAATAACTGAACAACCCGTTTATGGTCAAGACAAACTCACCACAGAATTGCAATCATGACTAGTAGGAGTTTCAATTCTACGAGTTGAGGATGTAGAAATTTTTTAGAGGGTTTTGTACTATCCTCCCCTCCTCCATCCCTTTCCCCAAAAGCAGACTTCCACATGTGAAGGTTCTTGAGGACCTAACTAGTCAAAGTCCTGTTCAACACGGTAAGTTATACCTGCATTTCAATAATTACACTCCAAGAACCTCAAAGTACGCTCACTTTCTTATATTCAAAACAAAATCTCTTTTCTTGAGTTAGTATTAAGACCCCTTATATAACCTTAAATTTCACGACTTAGTCGAATTATCACACTGAAAAAGGTTCCCAGTGCCAAAATGCCCCAAATCAGAAAATGTTGACCATCTCAACAGTGGTGTCGACACTGGCTTAAAAGCTGGCAGATATGAATTATTGCAGCTGTTTAAACCTAATATGGCATGCCTACAACTCAAACCATGATTTTACCCATTTAATCAAGTCGCTAGATCTTTGAATATTAGCAATAAGGATTAAGGTCAAAAATATTAAATATTTCCAATTTCTAACAACTTCAAAAACATATCCCTTTGCTAAAAATTTTGTCGTTAAGCATTATTACAGTGTAATGGTCTCCAAATACATGTTACTGTTATTATTCAGTTTAATCATCATTAATGTCTATTTCCCAGGTCCCTAATTGAAAACCCAAAATTTCTTCAACTTTGACCTTATTCACTTTTTTGAATGAAATCTTCTCCCTTTTCGTCTTTTAAGCTGTTCTTTCTAGTGCCAAACTCTAATTTGTGAAGGCTGAGGTTATGTGGAAGATTGATGGGGAAAATGGGTAATAACCACGATTTCTGTTGAGAGAAAAATGTATGGGAAACTGGGCCAGAAAGCGGCTCCAAATGCTACAAAATATTTGGTTGTTAACCTACTTCATCTGAACTTGGGACTGTCATTGAAGTAACTTCGTGATAAAATTAAATACGTATTTAACGAGAAATTTTGATTTTTAGAGATTTGATTTAGATTAGATTGGCTTTGATATTTTAATAAGATTGTGATGTTGTAGAAGTTCCCAAGAATGAAGTTCTCTACCACTATAAAAGTGGAACTAAGGTTTCAATCTATATAGAGTTCTCATATTGAATCAAAGACAAATCAAAATTTTCCTCCCCTCAAATTCTTTTCTCTTCTTTTTCTCCCTTCTCCTTTGATTCTCTATTTTCTTCCGTTTGTCTCTACTATTCTGCATCAAATATCTGTGTTACTGCTGAAACGTGTTATAATGTGTGTGCATGCATATTTAAGCCATTTTTGGAAGCATATTACTTGTGAAACAGGTTTAATGTGTTAATAACTTAAAAACTTGTTCAATCTATCATTTGTTTACATTTGGAAACTAACTTCTCGGTTTGACGTTTCTCTACAATTTGTCATGATAATTTGCTTTTAGATTTTAAACTAATTTCCAATTTGGATACCTGGAACTGATTTCAGGTGTAGTAATGCTCTTTTTATTTGTTGATTTTGCAGTAGTCAGTTCTATAGGGATATTCGGCTGCAGTTGGAAAATGACTTCACCATATCTCTCCAGGCTGAGGTACATTGATTGTACTAATTTTCACAATTATGAATGGACTTAGGTTTTGTAGAAATTCCAAAACAGCTTCATTACGCTAAATTCCTTAATTAAATTTATTATTTAGGATATCGATGGGTGTGAAGTGGTGGCAATAAAACCGTTGCCCTGGTACCCCAATAATCTTGCTTGGCATTCAAATTTTTCCCGGAATCAGCTGAGGAAGAACCAAACTCTTGAGAGGTGAGTGATACGTTTACTACCTATCTCTATTAACGCTTTATGGTATTTTTTATCAGACCCTTTGTGTATAGAATGATGCTGTCTATTGTTTTGTCGCATGAGATAACCATATATACACGAGCATAGTCATACAACCCTCCAAAGTTTTGTAAAAGTACTACATGTTAATATGGATGTTTTCTCTCTAAATTGACCCTGTAAGCTAAAAATGTAAGTAAATGCATACGTTAATTGGAAAGGAAAAGTTTTATATTTAAATAAGCATTGGAAAGGAAATGCCTTTTTTTTTTTGCAAACTACAAGAAGCCAGAATTTGGTGGTGGATTGGCAAAGCTAGTTGTTTCAATTAATTGTAGCCATGTGATTGCTTCCTGCAACTTCTTCCAGTACTTGCTGTATTTGACACTTGCGTCCCATTGGTTCTGACACAAGTTTAGTTCTCTCAAGGATGTCAAAGGAACACTTTATCGTGGTTAATTGTGTCACAGCTTTAAATTGAGCCCTTTTTCTAGATCTTGTATGTCTACACACTTAAGATTACCCCTTCTATGCCAACATCAACAGGCATGTTTGACATCTTAAATAGGTTATAAGAGGAGTAGAAAAACATTAACATGGTTGATGTGGTTGCTCAGGACCTACAAGCATTGTATCTTCCGGTGGATTAGGCAATGAATTAAATAGAAAGGAGAAAAAAGGATTTATATAGCCAACCCCGTACCTATTGGAACGAGACTTCATTTGTAGTATGCTGTTTCCATGTGATTACCATGTTAAATTTTTCATGATTGGTTGAATGGTTTTTCCCCCAGTTGAAATTGTAGTATTAGGAATCTATGCTGGAGATCATAAACTATAGATAAATGGTATTCTGGTTCTCAAATGAAGAGTTTTTTTTACTCTTTCTAGTCTTATATTTTAAGGGGAAATATTGATGCTTGCTGCTTCCGTCTCTGATTGCCAGCTGCCTATTTTTTAGTATTGGTTAAAACACAATGGTCCTTTCAACCCACTCCAATTCTTTATAGCAGACAAGCGTTTTGGTGAACATTACATGGTTTTTCTTACATATCTAACTTTATTATGAGTGAAGCAGTATATATGTTATTTGAGCCCTTTCAACTTATTTCAATCCTTTGTAGTACATAATGAGATTTGGAGACTATATTACATGGTTTTTGTTACACATTCAACTTTATTATGACTGAAGCAGTATAAATGTCATTTGACCACCTTTTGTAAATTTGTAATTCATGTACAGGTCTAGATCCAGTCTTTTAACAACTTTTATGTTTCATGTTTATCTTCTATATGCTACATTTTGTAATAAGGGGGTTCATCTATATAAGTTTGTATATCTAAGACTGACTTGTGTTAAGAAGCTTCTATGTTGAACACACTAAACATCCGACCATTGGTCAGTGATGGTTCCATTTACTGTTCATGGTTGTAACAAAACCTTTCAGGTTCCACGAGTTCTTGAAGCTAGAAAACGAAACTGGAAACATTACAAGACAAGAAGCTGTCAGCATGGTTTGTCAATTTTACTTCTTTTCTCTTGTTTAGTTTGAGCATTCTTTGAAGCTCTGGGTTTGACATGTTTATTTTGTTCATTTTTCTTTCCAAATTCAGGTTCCTCCATTGTTTCTGGATGTGCAACCACACCATTTTGTTCTTGATAGTAAGCTAAATTTATGAATTTAAAATCTATTTGTATTTAAATTTTGTTTCACATAGTGGCTGACTGCCTACACCTCAGGCATTCCTATTGAATGACCAATTTCCATGTATTCTGATTATTTCCTTTACTCAATGCAGTGTGTGCAGCTCCAGGTTCAAAAACATTTCAGTTACTTGAGATGATACACCAGATGACAGAACCGGGTACCTTACCTAGTGGAATGGTTCTATTACTTTCCTTTCTCTCCTTCTATATTTAATTTCGGTTCACTGCATTACATTACAAAAATAGCTAGTTTTAGCTTTCTATCTCATTCTTTTCCTTACATTTTTTTTTTACTTTTGTTATGTGCCTTCAATTCTTCCCATGATTTAGGTGATTGCAAATGATCTGGATGTCCAGCGCTGTAATCTTCTAATTCACCAAACAAAAAGAATGTGCACTTCTAACTTGATAGTCACAAATCATGAAGCCCAACACTTTCCAAGCTGTCATCTACACAGGAATCACATAAATAATTCTGAGCTTGGAAATGGTGAGGAACCTGGTATCACTCAGCTTCAATTTGATCGTGTCTTGTGTGATGTTCCATGTAGTGGTGATGGAACTTTACGCAAGGCTCCTGATATCTGGAGGAAATGGTAATATTTTTCATTGATACTTTTGGTTTTCTACATAAGTCTTGATTGTAAGAAGTATATCCCACCATACTCTTTTCACGTTCCCTTCTTCTTTGCAGGAATGCAGGAAATGGTAATGGTCTCCATGGCCTACAAGTTCAGATAGGAATGCGAGGTACATTTTCCAGTGATTCCATAGTTGTATGATGTGTAACTCAAATTTTAGTGTTCCACTTTTAACCTCAATTTCATATATACTGTATTGAGTAATTGAATATTTACTCAAGTAATTAAATATACCTTACAGTGAAACTATCTATTAAACTTTTGTATTGCAGGTTAGTTTTCTTTTGATTTGATTACTAAATAACATATATTTACCTACTGTTATACTGGATGAAATAATTACTTTGATAACTAACTTCTTATAGAAGTCATTTACATGGAAATCAAGATTGATGAAAACTTACAAATCTACAAATCTTTACTTTTTTTAATTCTTTGCAAAAATGAGAATTTCTAAAGCTTGATGGTTATGATTTGGAACTGTAGATAAAAAGAAGATGGTCATATTTAAAAAGGCTTAATAGATACCTAGACATTTTACTTGTGTGAGGAGAAAGCCTCAAAATAGACCAATAAATAATTCAATAGAATACGAAAATACATAATGTGGTCATAATAATCATATACCATCTTAAAAAATCCATAGTAGAACGAATTAACAATATTGGAAGTCTTTAACTTGAAAATAAACATAAAGTAGATCAGTAGAATAAAAGAAAATATTCCAAAAAGCTAAGACTAGTAATAGAATTTCTGGAAAATGCAAGACAATTGAGCAAACAACTTAATCATCTTGAGGCGTAGCCTTCAGGTGAAAACTTCACAAATGGCACTTGGGGCGGGGTTGAGGTGTTTCATGAAAGCCTCTCACGAGTCAGGATTCGAGGCGTAAACCTCAAATAGTTATTGTAAACAATGGGTTTAGAAAATATTATTGTACGTCTCACCATACTTGATTCCTCTAGTTGATGAAGCTTCATGTGAAGGCCAAGTGCCAAGACGGTGGCTTTGAAATAGTTGGCTTGTACAAGTTTTTTATGAAACATGTAGGCTTATCTGTTGGTAATTTAGTTGGAACGGAATATAATTTTTCTTATGAGAAAACATTCCATCCCGGTTTAGTTGTTTCTCTTTACTGTGTAGTTTGGTTGTATTTGTGGCTTGAGGTAACATATACAACTTTTTTTTTGTCTGTACCTTTCTATAACTCTTGTCATGCCTTTCTTGTTTCTGATGATAAAATTTGGATGTATTCAATAAAAGGGAGTCAGGAATAAACCCAAAAACCTGATAAGAATTAAAATTATTAGAATCAATCACACACTTCTATGCTTAACTGTTTGAACCCCTTTCAAAAATGGTAAAAAGAAAATTTCATTTCTACCCTGATTTTGAAGGGTATATGGTGAACTCTCTCTTAAGTTATAAGAAAAGATATAATAATATGTATTGTCATGACTTTTGGTCAATCTTGATTTACATATGCTAGCGCCTGTGCAAAGAGTCATTTATTGGAATGCATTGGATGCATAAAACTTGGAATGGAAGAACTTCTGCTAAAGAAATTAATTACTCTTTAATGTTTTAGGCCAAATATTACTTTTAAGTTCTATATGTACCCCAACATTAAATTTTACTGAGAAAAGCGCTAATTAAACATTTATGATTCTTATGGTTTTAAACGATCGTCATAGGTATAACGTTGCTTAAAGTTGGTGGGAGAATGATCTATTCAACTTGTTCAATGAACCCTATTGAGAATGAGGCTGTGGTTGCCGAGGTAAGTTGCTCAAAGAATCCAGTTTTTGGAGTTTGCTGCAATTTTTTCCATTTATAACCCCCCCAACCTTCCATTGTGAATATGGGGTGTACAAGGTGCCCCCACATGCTGACACAGACAATGCACAGTATGAATGAAAATTTATACCATATTTCTGTTTGTTTGAATAATGATCTACTCTACACCTTCAATTATAAATCTAAGAATTGTTAGGGTTAATACATGGAATTTGACTATGACTAAGAGAGCCCACCAATTGCATAGAAAAAGCAATTTGTTGACGGCTTTCTCTTATAGTGTCTCCTAATTCAGGGGGCGTATTCTCAAAAAGGAACCCTCACATCAGCTGACTTGGAAGAGTGAGACTCACTCCTGGGCCACCCTCAGGCGTACTTTGATTGAAGAAAGAGGAGTTGAAGACACCCCCCAAATAATATCTCTACTTCATTAATAGGCCCTCTCTCTTCTTGTACAATATATAATGTTTAAAAAGGCATAATTGGGTAGTGAGACTTTTTCCTTCCTGAGGTGAGGCAGGCTTAAAATGAAAAATGTCAAAAGGTGGTTAAAATATAAAAAAGCACATAATATATCGTAAACAACCTTCAAAATTCATAATAGAACAATTTTAGTGTGCAAACAAATAAAAGAAAAATTTATAAAGCAACAAAAAAGAAATTATTATTTTAGTTGGCAGGGCAGTGAACTATTCCCGAAGGATGTCAACAAGAAACACAGTTTTTAAGTGGACAATTAGCTATTCTAAAAAATGGGCCAATCGAATTATTATTATTATTATTTTTGGGCCCACACCTAAAACAAAGTAATTAAGGAGTGCATGCCTCACAAGTCTTGAAGTGGTGTGGTGGGGTGTGTGCCTCACCCACCTCCGAAACTGCCTTACAATCAGCTTCCTAAGTCATTTTTTGCTCGCTCTCTGAGACAAGCCTTAAGGAGGCCTTAATTGGGTTTTTAAAAACCGTGCCCACATGGACCTAAAAAAAAAATTGTTCTCTCCTAGAATTCCCCCCCCCCCCCCCCCCCCCCCCNTAATAACTGACTGATAACATGTAATAAATTAAGGTTCTATTCCAACACGGAACGAAAAGGACAATATATAGTATGGGTACCATTTTTTAGTATAAAACCCTTACATTTAGTGAAAACTTTTCTTACTAAGGATTGGGAACACCATTAATCACAACGTAGTGTGCCCGAAGCTAAATCTAGACCAACGGCCAAAACCCAGTATGACTTAGCCCATGTTTGATGGTCATTATTTTGAGAAAATAGAGTTTTGAATATTGATTTATTTATTTTTTTAAGAATGTGAAGTTAAAAATTAGGGAAAAATTTTGGATTTACCTGCAAAATATTTTATTGTGAAAATGTGTGATTGAAAATGAGTATGAGAATTAAAGAGTTATGGAAATAATGATTGTCAAACAGGGCTTAATTTTATTTAACTATACTTGCTACGAGTAATGGCCGCCTTGTTGCCTACATCACTTCGCAGAGAGGGGGAGCGTATTGAATCAATAGTTGACTCCAGTCACTCCTTTACTCCCACGCTCACCCTTGACTAAAGTGCTTGCCTAAAATAGTCGTGCACGTAATCTCTGACCATCAAACATGAAACACTTATTTTCATTTTAAGTAGTTGGGGATAGGATAACAAGCCCTTCCCACATGTCGAGTTGAATAAATGAATGCAACCTCAACCACAGAGATCTTTGATTTTAGGCTGCTGTCCTAATCCATGATCAGCAACTTTTCCAAAAGCAAACTGAATGGAATTGTTACTTACAATTTTCATATAATTGTATATTTAATTTGAATATAATCGTGCTTGCCTTTGAATTTATTATATCTTCTCTATTTTATTTAGTCAGACTATGAAGGTGTGGCATGGTATACTTCTAAATGTATGTGTACTCTGCAGCATCATACACTTCTCTCTCTAGCTTTCTCTTATATGGGGGTTCTTGCTTGTATCTGTGTTTATGGCATATGTTTTTGTGTCAATGTCTTGCCTACCTGTATATATTCATGTGCCTATAATGTTTTATTCCCCTCAGATCTTGCGTAGATGTGAAGGGTCTATTGAGCTCGTGGATGTCTCCAGTGAGCTGCCTCAATTGATTCGCAGGCCAGGCCTTAAGAAATGGAAGGTTAGTAATAAATTTCCAGTTGGTGTTTTAATTATTACAGAATATTCGGAGTAAGTACACAGTAAGCTGCAGTTGGTGTACACAGTTTTATGTTAGTTACTAGAATTTTGTACCTGAGGTTCTTGCACAGGATTTTCCATTTATCTTTTGCTAACAAAATTCTCTCTCTTTCTCAAACCAACTATTCTATGTCCCAATCGTCCCCCAAGAGGAGAAGCTCTGTATAGCTAGAAATCTTGACTTCCAACAAAAACAAATGTTTGCAACAAGTCAGTAACAAATCCATAAATAAATTCTGAAGATACTTGCAGCACTATGATTTGTCTCTTGCTTGCACTCTTCCGCTATGGTGCTTTGGATCATTCCGTTCTGGTTTGCCTGATGTTCTAGAAATCTGGTGGACCATGTTCGTAACTTTTGGTAGAGCATAGTGTTGAACCACGTTATCTAAAAGATTAAATAGATAGATAGAGACACAAGTATATCATATCAGTAGTCTTCAACACGTCCTCTCACGTGTAGCTACGTTCATTTTTTCCCATAAAAGCCTAACATGTGCACAATTCAGTTAAAAGGGTGGAGGAGAGACTTAAACCTAAGACCTTTGCATACTCTGATATTATGTCGAATTACTTGATCTAAAAGCCTAAACTATTAGATAGGGCCTCATATATATCATTTAATTATTATCTTCAAGACATAGGATCTCTAGGCACTTTTTTGTTCAGCGTTGCATTGGAAAGATTAGACTTCAACTCATGAAAGGGAGTTGGTATTATAGTTTGTTTGCTTGTTTTAAAGGACCTTCACTTTGATGACTTTTGAAAGATTGTTGCTCCAGTGGGTGGGATAACATGCTTGTGTTTGTTGAAATGCAGTAAAGTTCGATATCAATCCTGAATGTTTGCTAAAGAACTCACTAATTATCCGACTTTCCGGGGTCCTGTATCATTACTATAGCATTTCTTGAGGGGATTAATAGACTCTAGATAAATATATTTATCCCCTTTTTGACATCCATTATTTTCTAACTCTTTTTTCTGCATACCCATTTCAACCACACATCACATAATAAAATATTATGCACGTCAATTCAAAACTTTTCCCTACTTTTTAATCACACGTTCTCCTAAAAATCACTATTGAAAACATGGTTTTTTCCCATTTAATGGTTGTTAAACAGGGGCTTAGCTTGTGAATCACAGTTCAAATTAATCTTATGGATTAATTGTCTTCCCCGTGTCCTATCATGGACATTGTGTCTGGAAGACCTTAATGTTAAATCCCCAAGTTCCCAGACTAAATGTGATAGATATACTTCAACAAGAACTCCTGGATGTCAACATCTGTCATTTCAACTCTGGATCCTGAGACCCTTTTTGGGTTGATAAATTTGGTTAGAGCAAGAAAAAAGAATCGTTAGTTGTTGAAAAAAGTATATAATTTGAAAAAACAAATATATTAAATAACCTGAAAAACACTTTGGAGGTTCTTGTGCTTCTATATTTATTTCCTTTTGCATACTTTTTAACTCCAGTCACATGCCTCAATGTTCTCATCTGTGCAAATTTGATGTCTTCCATGAATATTTTGTAAATTCAGTTCGTAAATACTTGAGGGCAGCTATTAATGATCATCGATAATATATTTAAAGATAAACCACATGTAAACTTTGTCTAGCCACGTTATCTATTTATTGATTCTTTTGCATTTAATTTCTATTAATCCAGCAAATTCCATACTCGATCTCAAAGAAAAATATAGAATTCTGCAGAAAGATGTATTCGATAAAAGTCGAATGTTCGGTTTGGAGGGAGATCTTTCATATCTTTTGAGATCCACCCTACAATATGGATAAAAAAACCAAAATAAGTGATTTTAGCCCTTACGAAAAGAAAATAGATTCTTGAACCCCTTTCACACTCATGTCACGTTGAGGTACCGCAAAAGATAAAACAGCAAAAGCCGATCCAATTTATCATAATCGATTAGTTAACATGTTGGTTAAGTGCATTCTGAACATGGAAAAAAATCATTGGCTTATCATATCTATCAAGCCATGAAAATAGCATTTAATTGCTATTAATCCATTTTGCTGTGCAGGTTCGAGATAAAGGGGTGTGGTTTACATCTTATAAAGATGTCCCTAAATATCGAAGGTCTGTAGTTACTTCGGGCATGTTTCCCTCTGGTAAAACATACGAGGAAACATCTGAGCATGATCATGAAACTGTTACTACAGAATTAGTTGAGAATGGTAAGGAGAGCACTGGAAATGGACTCCAGATGATTGATGTTTCTATGGTTCCAACTCAATGTTTGGAGGCAGAAGTCTCGACTCTACCTTTGGAACGTTGTATGAGGATAGTGCCTCATGACCAAAATACTGGGGCCTTCTTTATTGCTGTTTTTCACAAGCTTTCACCTCTTTCTGGTAAGTAGAAAAATTCATTCTGATTGGGTAAACAATTAGAAGTTCTGGGCTTTCTTGTAATTCTGGAAAAACTGATGTAGAAAGTGTAAAATGACATGGTTCTTATTCAAAGTCTTAACAAAAATAACAAAATAGGATGGAGTAGTATTTTACCTAAATCTTGCATTTTCTACACAGTATTCACATTATCTTTACCTCTACAGTGACGCAGAAAAAAACTGTCAGTCTTCCTAAGAAAATGAATTCTAGTAATGCTCAAGCTGAAATATTAAAGAATGAGGTGAAAGAAGATTCAGATGGGGTGGAAATTGATTCAACTGGAGGCACTGAGGGTCAACTTTCTGAAGCCAATATTGATGCTGATATACTTGACAATGGAATCGATGAAGATGCTTTGGATACTGACAGTAATATAATGTCAAAAGTAACTGAAAAAGAGGAAGCCCAACCTTCTCCTGATACGAAAACTGGTGCCGAAGTGACGAGGGGTAAAAGAAAGCTACAGATTCAAGGAAAGTGGAGAGGAGTTGATCCTGTTCTTTTTTACCGGGATGACACTGTTATTGACAGGATAATGGAATTTTATGGAATTAAAGAATCCTTTCCATTTAAAGGTCATCTCATTACAAGAAACATAGACAATAACCATGTGAAGAGAATATACTACATCTCAAAGTATGTGAAGGATGTTCTTGAATTGAACTTATTAGCTGGCCAACATCTTAAGATTGCTTCCGTTGGACTGAAGATGTTTGTAAGTTATTTATATATTTGAATCTTTTACCGGTTTCAAAATAAGTGTCTTTTTTTTCTTTTACTTAGAATGGTAGGAGAAAGGAACATAACTTGTTTGGAAAGAAAATGTTACTGTAAAGTAACTTCTACTTTTCTTAAGCTTAACCAAAAGCATTAAATAAATAAAAAACCCCGATTGCTATTTTTGGTTCATCCAACAGTTTAGTGCTTGGGTGGATTTTACTCTTTTCTTTTCACCTGCTATTTGCAGTGATCTCAGTTAATAAAATGATGTTTTTTTTAAAAAAATAAAATAAAATACATTTTCCCCCTAACTTGCCTCTTCTATTATCTTGATGGTTGTATTGAATATATTTTCTTCTGATTTCAGGAAAGACAGACTTCGAAAGAAGGGACAACTGCTCCCTGTCTATTTCGAATATCTTCTGAAGGATTGCCATTGATTCTTCCACATATAACTAAGCAAATCTTATATGCATCTGCAGTAGATTTCAAGCATCTATTACAATACAAAATTATCAAATTTTCAGATTTCGTTAATCCCGAGTTTGGAGAAAAGGCTTCAAAGCTAATGCTAGGTTGTTGCGTGGTGGTTCTGCACAGAGGTCTGTATGTTGTTGTTGGAGTTGACAATGATCGATTTATGATTATTCCTTGTATTGTGTTGTGAACAATTTCTGAAATATACATCGCATCCTGAATTTGTTTGTTTCCTGCAGACGACAAGGACTTATCAGGAGATGAGCAAGTGGATGCATCGGCAGTTGCTATTGGATGTTGGAGGGGTAGAACTAATGTAGCTGTGATGGTGACTGCAATTGACTGCCAGGAACTGTTAGAAAGGTTGTCTGCGCTTAAAGCAACAGAAACAGCCCCAATGCAGGATAATAGTTCCTCCCAACTCCAGCTTAAAGCAACAGAAACAGCCCCAGTGCAGGATAATAGTTCCTCCCAACTCAAGGCTGATGAAATCGGGCACAAGAATGATTCTGAAATTAAAGAGGACATTAAAGCCTCGACACCAGAAACTCTTGGTTGAACCAACAATTTTGGAGTTCTCCTTGTCTGTTGTACTTTATTATTTATTTTAGAGATTTGTGGTCAAAGTGTTGGTAAACAGAATAAAATTTTTCGGAGTTAATTTGTCATCCCTTCAGTATTTGAAATGTTCTAGCAGTTGTGCTGGAAATAGATTTGTTTCTCTTTTATTCAGTTGTCTTTAAGCTTGCATATAAATGTCCTATTGTCAAAGTTTTCCTGTTACGTTAAAAAACTAAGTACACATGTATTTTTGACCAAAGGGTCGATCGTCTTAACTTTGTTACTTTTTATTTTTAAATCTTGTGAAGTGTTGTCCAATGCAGCTTACCAAATAAATACTAGTTTAAGTGCAAAATGATTCAAGCTATACACCTCAGATCAAACAGTAGAATGGTAAATAATCACAAATGTAATGAATAGAAAGCACAACAAATGGAAAGGCGACTGCGAAAAAAATATTCATATTACAGCGGAGACCAGAAGACCGTCCGAGAAAGTACTTTCAAAAGAGATGAAAAATAAAGAAACGAATAGATGATCACAAAAACAAATCTGCCACTCTGCTATGTTGTTTTCTCCCCCACTGAAATCACAACCATTTCTCTACAACCAAAATATAACAGATAATTAAAAGAATCACGACACTGAGCGTAGAATAATAGATCAAGACTTTCAATCCTAGGTAAAAAAATCATGATCTACAGCACATCCTGTTCTTTTCTGGGATTACTTGCGCAGGACCGGGAATAATAATCTTCTTCCCAGATAAAGACGCAGGATTGCCATTAGCTCGATCATCGCCCGCGACAAGATTTTTCTTATTCATGATGTTGAAAATCTCGGTCAACACAGTCAAGAACGCATTCTCAACATTTGTTGCTTCCAGTGCCGAAGTCTCTAAGAAGAAAAGTCCTTCTGTCTGAGCAAATTCCTTGGCATCCTCGGTGGGCACTGCACGCTGGTCTTCAAGATCACTTTTATTCCCAATGAGAATGATAACAATGTTCTTGTCTGCATGTGCGCGCAACTCTTCTAGCCAACGGGGTATGTGGTCAAAGGTTTGGCGTTTAGTTATGTCATAAACTAACATAGCCCCAACAGCTCCCCTATAATATGCACTCGTGACAGCTCTGTATCTGTTCACAACACCGAAGAAGACAAATTAGAGAAGATAAGCATTCTGAATGATTCTTTTCAATAAATAAACAATAACACTGGGTTGTCCCACCAAAGAAAGGAAAAGGCAAAAGCAAACTACGCACAAACAGTAGCAAAACCCATTTTAAATCCCTCCCTATCCACCACCATATTGTGTTCTTGTATGTTCTTGCAATGGAATGAAAGACGAACAATCTATCAATATATGTCGTGTTTGATTTATATTAAATTGAAAATCTGCAATCTCCTTGTGCTTAATGTCTTAATGCTTCATATAAATTAAGGGTGTGTTTTTGTCTCCCATTATTGTGAGAAAAATAGAGTAATGAGTAGTATTTTTTGGAGAATGTGTGGTTGAAATTTAAAGTAACTTTATTGGTTTGTGTGTTAAATATTTTATTGGGTGAATGTATGGTGGATAATCTTATTGTAGCAAACAATTTTTAGGAATAATGATAGACAAACAGGGGCTAAATGGTTAAAAATAAAAGAAAGTTAATCACCATAGTAGGTTTTTATCATTATGCAAATAAGAACATTAACCACCATATAACCCAAATCACACACAAAAAAACACCAAACAAGATTAAGTACAGGTGACCAAACAATGAAGAACACTCAATGGAGCTAACAAAAATTTTATTGTTTTGTTTGACAATGTACTTCCAGTTGATGCACAGTTTAATTTCCAATGATCAGCAATTTAAAATCGTTTTCAACTCTTAATTAACTCCAAAATATGAATTATAAAGAAGTAAAGAGAAATATGAACTCTCGAAATTACAAGTTAAACTAAGAAGAATTAGAGCCCGTTTGGCAGGACTTTGCTTCTTATAGAAGAGCTTTCTTACCTTAGGCCAAATTCCTCTAAAAGCTCTTTTAATCAAACAACACACTTCTAAAAATTATCCGTCTCATAAACAAATTTTGGCTTTTCAAGAGCCCTTCCAAATGGCCTACTACTTGTAGATATTCCATATGCTGTCTAATTTAGTTTCCACATAGCATGATAGAAACAACAAAGTTCCCTTCACAATAAAATGAAAAATGTATTAAATCGTTGCCCTCTCTTAATAGCATATAGAATTGGCGACTTGTTGAGCATTCTATGACTTCCATAGGTTTCTATCAATTCTCCTTGCAAACTATTGATAACTAATGGATAAAACTATATTGAACTTCCAAAAAAACTCATGTTATCCACTAAGCTTCATCATCTTCAAATTTGGCCATTAAACTTAATATATTGTTACAATTGAGCCACTCCTTTATTTACCACAACTAAATTGTCCCATTAGTTTTGAAAGGATCCAAATGCAACAAACATTTAACTTCAGGGATTCAATTGTAACTAATGACAAATAAATCAAAATAGCACTAAAGACATAATTTTTCATTGCAAACTAAATACTGCAAATCAAACAGTCCCCTGCCAACGTAAACAACTGAGAAACACCCCAACATCAATCAGACAACGTTAATTCTAAACCAAAATTAAACCGAAATCCGAAAAGCAAATCCACAAAAGATCAGCTATGCCAATTGCAAGAAACGTATTGCAGAACACAAAACTACTTAAATCACATCATGAAAACACTTAAATTCTTAATGTTTTCTTAATTAGTAGGTCCATCCACAAGTAAATATTGAGATATAGATATGTAACGCAGATGTGCGTGTATGTACCGTTCTTGTCCGGCTGTGTCCCAGATCTGGGCTTTAACGGACTTGTGCTGGATTACAAGAGTCCGGGTCTGGAACTCGACACCGATGGTGGACTTGGAATCCAAACTAAACTCATTTCGTGCAAAACGGGACAGTATTTGAGACTTTCCCACTGCCGAGTCACCAATCAGCACCACCTTGAAGACATAGTCTATTTTCTGGCTTGCATCTCCATACCCACCTGCGTTATTTGCCATTTTCACTTCCTTTTTCTTTATCTCTTTAAGGTTTGTGCCTAGAGAACAAGAGAATGAGATGGAAAAGAGACACGGAAACGGAAGAGACGGAATGATTTGTAACAAGTCCAAATCGGGTCTTACAAAAGTACTCATTTATTGGATGCCCATTTGATGAATTATAATTGATGGTTGATTTTTCTTACTTATTCAAACAAATATTTTCTTAACTAAAATTTTGATAAAAGTACATTTCTATGATAATATAAAATACATGTGTTGGCGTGTAATATACAAAGGGTTGAACAACAAAATCGTTCAAATTGGTCCCAAGAGTGGGATTATCAAAGGTGAAGCATTTTGGAATTAAAACTTGTTTGAGAGGGATTTTTGGGGGAAGAATTGATTGTGTATAGTGATATGATGGAAAATGTATTGTTGAAAAAGAAGAAAAAATTATTGATGTGATGGAAAATATTATTTTATTGAAGAATGTGTGGTTGAAAATGAGAATTGATTTACTGTAGAAAAATCTAAATCTCTTCCAAACAGGGCCTTAATAGAGAGGAATAGTGCACAATATTAGCGAATTAATTCTTACTACTCTTGGAAAGATCATAACAATTATTTTAATATAAAGAATTAGATTCTTACTACTTTTGTTATAAAAATTCTCCTAATGTCACTTACATAGTTTTATTTATTCTCAATAAGGATCATTCTTATGTTGTGTGGCAATTGATTATAGACAATAAAACAGTTCTATATTTATTCATATAACTAGACTTATAATGTCACGTAACCTACCTTATACTGGTCATCGTCTCCGGTGAAAATAAATAACATTTTTTTTATTGGATCTAGCATTTAATGTCAGTATAATGTAAATGTGCTCTCACATAGATGTGTGTTATGGATCATGAGAGAACCATAACTAAAAAGTTAGTTGTTGAGGTTGGAGTCGTTGGACAACCTACATCCATGTAACCCTTGCACAAAGTCCATACTTTCAATGTAGGATTGAAGTATCGTATCTTGCAACAATATCATGACAATAAGAGAACTATATCCAAAAACTAGTTGTTGATATCAGAGTTCCCAATTCATATAAATCCACATAAAGCCTATACTTTCGATGTAGAATTCAAATCTTGCACCTCACGACAATACCATGACAACCCACCACCTTATATGATCTCGACGCCCACATCGAATCGACTTTACGCTAGCCATGGCTAGTCCTGCAACACAATTATGCTGGAGTGGCAATCCACACTACAATATTGCAATCTAGAGAAACCCCACAAAAAGTTCATACTTTTAACGTAAGATTCGAGTGTGAGTACCTTACAACAAGATGATGGTTAAGTGTTGAACATCAATAGTATAGCATTATTAAAATTATTCAGAGTGCATTTTGGATGAAATGTCAGAGCTGAATTTCCCTTCTGCCAGAAATAAATACGACAACTAGTCTCTGTCTCGGAATAGGAACGGTTGGATGGTCCAAGATTTACACTTTGGCATTAGAGGTATAATATGGGTTGAACTGTTTAGACTTTGCCCAATTAATTTACCTTTGTCACGGATTAGTTGAGTTTGTTTTGTTTTATAATAAAAGTTTAAAATTTTACAATTAAGTTATCAAGACCTTCAGGCTGGTAATCTACCCAAATCGAGAAATTTAAAAGTTGGTAAAAAGTGAACAAACATCATGTTTCAGCCATTTCCTGATGTGGTTTCTTTGCAATTGGTTCTTAATATGGCAACATATACCTGTTATCATTTTTTTATTTTTGTTTTCCAGGTTGGGCACCTTTACTTCTTTCATGTCGATAAATGTTAGTGGAACGCTTGCTAGTTAATTGAAAACAAGAAACGGGAGAGAGTTCTAAATCTAATAATGTAGTTGCACACTAAGAGCGTCCTATTCATTTTT